ATTTTCAGGAGAAACTTTCCTCTGTTGGGACAGAAGCTGGCCAGGAATTCAGAAAGTAAGGTTGCTGCGCTGTGTCCTAAAGGCAGCTACCTCAGGGCCACAGCATGCTGTGAATATAGGAAGGAGAGATGCCTTCTGGCCCAGGAGCAAGATCTGAGCTGGGTGCTGAAGTATGAGTAGGAGTTTGCTAGGCAGAAGGGCAAGAGACGTCCTAGACCCTGGTAGTCTAGAGATGCTAATGAATCTCTTCTCAGAAAAATGTTTTTAAATAAATAAAAACATATTTATTAATAAAGGGTAGAAAATAAAAAACAAAAATCCAATAAAATGGATAGGATGACCATGGAAACCAGTTATATGGAAATGAAGTTATATTTTAATAGTGATATACTAATATACATGCTTCTTCATTAATATATTAAATAGCCAAGCCCTGCACCGAGTCTAACTGCTACCATAATTGTGAAGTAATAATGAATATAGCTGGTATTTCAAGATCCCCTTAGCACTGTAGTGTGACGTGAAAACCTGGTGATTTCTGTGGGAAACAGTCACAGGTGCTATTTTTATTGCCTATATTCAAAATGTAAGGAAATGCTACATTTCACTTAGGGGTTAGAGAAAAGAATGATGTAATTCTCCCCGCAAGTGTTCACAAACCCCTGACTTCTACCCACAGACCCAGGCTACAGGTTAAGAACCCCTGGTCTAGAGATCATCATTTGAGAAGAGGATCAGGCAGGAAAATATGTACTGAGTATGTTGTAGGTGAGCTGGCATGCAGCGGGGGATGGCACAGTGGGAGAAGGGGCTGCAAAGATAGGACCTTAAGGAGACCAGAGTCACTCGAATTTTACTTGCTCATCAAAAGAATGCTTTTATTATAGCATTGTATTTTTTATAATGTGTTCTAAAAAGGAATACATGCTCATTATAGAAAGTAATGAAATGAAAAAAGGGAAGAAAATAACTCAGTGTTCCAATGGCCAAGGCGATCTACAAACATCCCAGTTAATTGCCATTTGCTGGGGATGGCTGTGTGGTACAGTGGTTAAGGGGCTGGTCCCTGGGGTGTTGGATGGAGCTGTTGAATCTTGACTCTGCTTTTCAATGTTTCTGTCTTGTTTTTGTATCTGTAAGATGAGAATGACAGTAATGCTACCTATTTCATCAAGTTGCTTTTGGAATTAAATAAGTCAGTTCCCATAAGGGTGCATCAAATAGGCCATAATTAACATTCAGTAAATGTTGTCTTTAATAACATCATCTTATAATCATTCCTCAGTGTATAACTATTCTCTGTAGTTGCTTAGTTGTAGCCTTCATATAGATATACATATAATTTTATATTCTGCTTCCGTCCCTTAATATTATTACATAAATATTTTTAATACTGTTATAAACCGTTCATAAGTATTTTAAATGCCTAAGTAATATTCCACTTGGGCATCCAACCTACATTTCTATAGCCATTCCCTTATGATTATACATTTAGTTTATTTCCAGTTTTCCATGGAAGGTGTTGAGTGGGCTTCAGGGTGGTACAGCAACTGTTTATTAGGCACATGGCCTTGTTCTAAGTACGGAGGACACAGACGTAAATGTGACAGGTTCCCTGCCTTGGAGGAGCACTCTCATCTATGTTTTAGGACTATAATTCGCCCCACCGTTTAAAGAATGGATTGGAAATGAAGAATCCTGGAGACAGAGAGATGCCTTAGGAGGGCAGGTCATAAAGTAGGGTTGACCTGGAATCGTGGCAGTGGACATAGGAAGGACTGGCAGGGACTGAGCAGGTCAGGTGGTCGGAATCTGGCCCCTGGCTGGTAAAGCAGGTGAACAGCTTTAGTGAGGGAAGGCAAGAAAGAGGCAACCATGACCGTGGCTTTGAGCTGGACGAGCTAAGAGGAGTGAAGTAGAGGGGGGGTTCACTGGCTTTAGTGCCAGGTGGATCTCCATGTTCAAGCCCACTCCGACCTTATATTACCTGTGTGATCTAGAACAAGTTACTTAAACTTTCTAGGCCTCAGTTTCCCCAGCTGTAAAGTGGAGATAACAATGAATTTTCTTCATAGAATTATGAAGATCCAATCAGATTGTGAAAAAATGTATAACAAATCTGCTATGGTGGGGATAATAGGAAAAGGGTCATGTAGCACGTCAGGTATGATTCTAAGTGTTAAGTATTAATTCACTCCAATTCTCACAGCAACCTTATGAGAGAGGTGCTGTTAGTGTCTCATAGATGAGAAAACAGACCCAGAGGTTTGGTAATTTGCTCAAGGTCTCACAGCTAGTAAGTGATGGAGCCTCAAACCCAGACAGCTGTGCGTCAGACTCCAAGCTCTTACAGGGCTGAGTGTGAGACTCCAGAGGGCGTGGTCCAGGAGATGGCTGAACTTGACTTTGTAACCCAGCACATAGGTGAGAGTGCAGGGTCATCTGGGTAGAGACAAGGGTGGAGGCTGTAGGCAATGGTAAAATGGCCCAGGAAAAATGAATCATGGGTAAAGCCTGGATTTAGTGGGTGGGAGAAGGAAGAGGAGTCAGCAATGAGAGAAAGACCGACCAGAGAACTGGAGGAGGATCCAGGTTGGACGGCGTTAGGACATTCTAAAGAACAATGCTATCAGAACAAGTGCTGCAAAAAGAGAACGGGATGAGAAGGGATAACAGGTCATGGTGACCTTGGATAAGGTGGATTCAGTAGACGAGGTGGCTCGGGGGAAGCTCCACTGTAAGAGGCTGAGAAGAGCTGGGTGTAGGAGTGGCTGGTGCAGGGCACAGTGCAGACAAAATTAGTGGCTATGACACAGGAGCATGAACCCTGGACGCGGGTCAGGAGACTTGAATCCAAATGCCAGCTCTGGCCTTGATTAGGTGTGTGACCAGAGCAGAGGCACTTCACATCTCTAGGGTGCTGTGTCCTTACCAGTAAACTGAGGAGATAAAGCCCCACTCGTCTGGGGCATTTGTAGGGGTCTGATGGGATAATGAACTTGAAACATCTAGCAGGCTGTAAGAGTTAAGGTGGCTGATGTCACGTGAGATAACTCACATGGAAATAGCTTGGACTTTGAAGAGGCTCTTCAGAGATAAAACCTGATCATCACTGCTTGTGCCAGACTTACTACTGATGGGTCCTCCTCAGGTGCCCTTTTCCTGCAGCATCTCAGCCAGCTGTGATTTGGGATGTTGTGGGATGCCTGCCTAAGCCAGAGGCTAAGAGAAGACTCTGAGACCTGTAGTTCATATGGCAAACTGCAGTGCTGGGATTTGAACCCTTCTGTCTTGCTGCCTGTGCCCTGTTGAGGAGATCACCTGACTATGTTGGATTCTAACCCAGGAGAAAGAGCATCCACATGGCAGGAGTGGCTTTGCAGCTGGCTCAACCAGCAATCTTGCACTAGTCCCTTAACCTCAGTTCCTACCTCTGGGAAATTGCTCTGTCTGAGTCCTAATACAATTTGGAAGAAAATATGTATGGAGAACAGCCTTGCATTTTGCAGACAAGGATGCAATGGGGAACCTCAACTGCATTTTCCGAGGACTGGCTCCTTGGCTCTGAAACCACAGTGTGTGCACTGAGAATTATCTCCTGTCCTCCCTCCCTGTGTTGCCCTCTTTCTCCCATCCTTCCCTTTCTCAGTCTCTAGCATGTTAAAATCTTAGATTCTCTTCCCCTCTTCTGATTACACATCCCATTCCTTCACACATTCACTCGACAAATCTGAAGTGGGCTCCTACCATCTAGAAGACATTGTGCTGGCCACTGAGGAGATGAAAAGAGTGGATTGGAAGATAAATGTGGCTCACTTCCTATCTTTAAGAGGTTTCAAATCTAGTGAGAGAGAGTTCTCAACAACAAACTGAAATAGACACAGCGTCTTAGACTAGAGGCATGAACCCCTGGCCTTGGGAGCCTGAGGCAGGTTTAATTCCATCTAAATGAACCCTGGCTGGGCCCAGTGGCTCACACCTGTAATCCTAGCACTTTGGGAGGCCAAGGCAAAGCGGATCACTTGAGGTCAGTCCAACTAACATGGTGAAACCTCGTCACTACTAAAAATACAAAAATTAGCCGGGCATGGTGTCAGGCGCCCGTGATCCCAGTTACTTGGGTGGCTGAGGCAGGAGAATCGCTAGAATCCAAAAGACGGGGTTGCAGTGAGCTGAGATTGCACCATTGCACTCCAGCCTGGGTGGCAGAGCAAGACTCCATCTCAGGAAATAAATACATAAATAAATAAACCCAGGAAGGTCTAAGGAGAAGGCGCTGTTGGAGCTGATCCCAGACAGGTGAGCAAGTGTTCAGAGTCCAGGAGGGAAGGCCAGATCCCAAGCATGCTGGTCAGTCAGGACGGGGCCTGCCCTGCCTTGGGGAGAGAACATGCCAGGCTTTGGGGTGAAGTGAATGGCGGGGGTGTTGCCAGATGAGACTCCTTTCTGCCTCTTGCTCTCTCCCCCTGCCTCCCATTTTCCTTCCTCTTCTCTTTCTCCCACTGCCTTTGACTTTAGCTACACCTGCCCTCTGCCTGTCTGTGTCATCGTTGCCCTCCTTCCTCCCTCCGCCTGCCTGCCTTCCTCCTCCTAGACTCTCTTTATATCTGGGGGGACTAATACAACAGCTGTGCTGGGGCTCCCCCTACCCCACCCCAGGCCAGGCCAGGCCACGGGACCGAATCTGCAGGTCTGCTCCATTAGCCAATATCCTTCGGGGACAGTCCAGACAATTTATACACCCTGTTAGCTGTGGCCGTATGTTGTCATAACCTGGGTCATTTCCTCATTTAATGCCGCCCATAAACTCCAATAAAACTGTCCTGGAGCCCAGTCCTCCAGGGGCGAAGGAGAGCCTCTGGGTTTGGAAGGGTTGGAGCAGGGGCCTGGGGAGGGCAGGAGGTGAGGGACAGCGGGTGACGAGGAGAGGACTGGGCCGTGGCCCCAGCTCGACCTGATGAGTGCCTTGCTTCTTTCCCTGTCCCTGCCGCCGGCTGCAGTGTGTCAGATCCTCCCCAAGGGGGTGGTCGCTGTCCTTGGGCCATCGTCCAGCCCAGCCTCCAGCTCCATCATCAGCAACATCTGTGGAGAGAAGGAGGTGAGTGTGAAGTGGGGCAGGGGGAATATCTGTGCGCTGGAGCCTATGCCCAAGGTCCAAAGATACTGGTGATTCTTAAGGGCTGGAAGAGCCTGTCAAGGCTGGGTTGATGTCATTAATAACAACAACATAAATACAAATACAGAAGCAGGGGGCTTCCTCGTTCCAGGATGTTTGGATGGAGGCGTCTTGGAGGAAGTGTTCGACAGCAGGAATTTGAAGTGGAGCTCCTCCCTGTCTTAGGGTCCCATGGTGGTACCCCCAGCGGCCTCTTGGTGGTGGTGGGTAGAGGGATAGGCTGGAGAGGGTGGTGGGCATGGCAGGCCAAGCGGGCAGAAGTCTGAGCGTCCACGCTAGTGTCCACGTGAGCAGCTCCGTGGTTATCTGTTTACGTATCACGATTCTGTGGAAGACTGTCTTTAGGGGAAGGCATTGCCACATTTTATTGCTAAAATAAAACTTGAAAGCCTCTGTCATATAAGTTCTCTAGAAAAGAGATTTTATCTTGCTTTATTCCTCATTCACCAATTCCAGTGTTTGCTTCTTCAACCAGCGCATTCTTCCTCAGATGTGACTTGAACTGCAGGCTCTCCAGTTTCAAAGTGTTGAGTCCATTTTCTCTAGTTCTGTTTCCATGAGAGAAAAAAGTAGTAAGGGACAAGATTCAGAGTGACTGCCCCCCTCCCTATTCTGAAAACTCTCCCTCTCCTTTTTCCCCAGAGAAGACAGGCTCGGAAATTCAGAGATTCTGTCTCCTGCTGGCATCTTTCCTGGTCCTTCCTGGATCCATCAATCCTTTCCTTTCAGATATGCCCTCGGGAGACAATGAGAAAGTGATCCCTTAGTCCCTGTCTGTCCCAAGGGCCTTCCTGCCAGGTACTTAGGGGGCAGATGGAGCTTGGTGGTCAGGCATGAGGTCAGGAGCTGGGTGGGGGTGGGGTGACAGACACAGAAGGAAGGCTCAGTCTTGCCTCTGCCCTAGAGGCCTGGAGGTTCAGCCTTCCAGAAGCGTTAGTCTCAGGAGGACCCAGTTCTTAGAAATAGGAGGGCCACTTGCTACAGAAGGGACTGGATGTCTCCTCAGTGAGCTGCCCCTGCCAGGGCAGGAGCGGCAGACAGGCCTCTGCCCACCCTACGCCTGCTGGGAGCCTACCCTTCTGATGCCACCACTATCTCTTATGATCCATGGCTCAGTGAGTCCCTGAGGCTTTGGGCAGAAAATTTATTTCCCGATTTTATGAGCCCACTCTCAGAGTTGTGTGCACATTTAAGTGCCGCAATCCTAGTCTTGGCTGCGTTGGTCCTGCTCTCCAGTAGCTGGGCCTGTCTCTGTAGAGTGTGCCCTTGAGCCTTCTTATGTGGGGCTGACAAGTCCTCATCCTCTTCCCCGTCACATATCCTCAAAGATGACTCTGAGGCCAGCCCAGGCCACAAAGGAGCTCTGTCCTGCTAAGTCCCTCCCAGCCTCCCCCAGACTTTGGTCCAGGAAGTTAGACCTCATGTGTAATTTACATCTTTCTTGCCACGCTCTGAGAAACAGCTCAAATCTATGGCAGGTCATTATTCTAGCAGTGGCTCTGATCTTCACCAAGTGGGGCTGCCAAGATTTCAGTTCCCCATCTTGTCTCTTCTGCTTCCTCTTTTTTGTTCCTCCTCTCTCCCTCCTCCTCCGTCACACAGTCTTTGCATCACAGCCCTCCCCTAAGCCCCACTCCAGCATGGCCCCCTCTTGGGTGCAGGGGCTGTTTCATCTCAGCCAACATATCCCTTAACCCTGTCTGGCATTTCAGGCCAGAGGCCAAGTCCCTGATCTGCAGCCAACTCCTCTGCCCCTGTGCCAGACCAGCCAGCCAGACTGCACTGCACTGCCCTGGGAGTGGCCAGACACTTACCTGCCTTTGTCTGGTTATGTTCCTTCTAGAGCAACCTTTCCTCTCTGCTCAGATTATGCATCTATTTTAATGTTTTATGAGGCTGAACTGCCTTATGCTGATTCTCCCCAGCTCCAGGGAAAAGCAATGGAGTTCTCATCCAGGAGTCCATTCCTTTAAATGCTGCTGACATCCCTGCAGCCCTCGTGGCTTGCTGCCTTCTGCCTCGCTGCTCCCCTCTCCATTCTGCTCACCTCTTCTTGTCCCCCACGCACCTCGGTGATGGCTTCCTGGGATACATCTGCAATTGTACATTGAGTATAGATCTATCTTTGTCATAGAGAGGGAACCAGGACCAGGACTGGGCTGGGCCATCCCTGCCTGGACCCAACAGAGCCCAGTGGGCTTCAAGGAAACTGTGCTGGAGGCTCCCCATCAGCTCCCCTTCCTCAGCCCTCACCTGATCTACACACAACTCCAAGAGCTTTGTGGGAGTCCTACATTTGTGGAGGAAGGAGAAGGGAAGGAGAAAGAGCATTGCCCAAGCACTTATTATATGTTAGGTACTGAACTATTATATACTCTACACACAGGTTCTCATTTTATCCTCACAAAGCTCTAAGATGCACCTGTGGTTATCACCATTTTAATGATTAGACAAGTTAAGTGGTTTGCCTGAAAATCACACAGCAGAACCTCGATGCAAACCCAAGTCTGTAGACTCCAAAACCCAGTTGTTCATCACCTTCCTGAGTCCTTCCCATTCATCTCTAAGATCCGTGGATTCATGGTATCTCCCAGGGCTCCACAGTACTAGGAGGTGCTAATGGGTTGTGCTGTATTGGGCTAGTTGCTAATGGAATCTGGTAGGTTAGAGGGTTACATAGGGACGTCCTTGGTCAAAGGTGCTCTAACATTCAAACCAGCCAGCCAGGCTACCCTGCCCCTGTCTGGCTTTCCCCCCTAGCCCCTTTGTGACCTTTTCCTTTCAAGGTGTGTTTGTATTCACTTTAGGCAGAGTGAATGGGATTCAAAATACAAGCAGGAAGAAAGATCCCGTATGACACAGATCAATTTCACTCTTTAGAATTGCCTTTCATAACTCACCAGGCCCTTCCCCATTCTGCATTTTTCAGTTTCTACTGGAAAATACTGGTTGCCCTTTCCCTATGGTTCAAAGCTAATCCTAGCTGAATTCAGAAATTTTCTCTCTAGTTTCTGCTAAATCTCTATCCTCCTTCCACCTCAGTCTCAGAGGAGCTGTGGTTTACAGCTGACTTCTCCCAGAAACGTAAAAGGATAAAGTAGGAGAATCCTACAGAGACCATCCCAACATCTTCCCAGACTCCTGGCAGGATACGTTCTGGGCCAGGGCAGGCAGAGGAAACTTCTGTCATTTCTTAATAATCCGTTCTGGAAGCCAATCCACCCACCCCCAGGAAGTTCTTCCTGCTGTCAACTATCGATCTTACTTGCCTTAACAACTATACAAATTGATACTTAGCTTCAGCTCTCTCAGCTCTGGGCACCAGGGGTGAGGGTGGCAGAATAAAATCAAGGTGGATAGCAGATTATTACATTTTAACTTTGCTATTACCTACCAAATAGCCTAAGCCGCCAATAAACCAGCCATCACAGCCTCTTAAGATCTTTTCCTGGGAGAAGAGAGGCAGAAGGCAGGGCAGGGGCTCCTGGAAATGTCAGTAATAGATGTAGAGGGAAGCTGACACTGTCCTAATCAAGCCAAGGCAGGTATTTATTTATTTGGCTGTGTTCGGAGGTTCTCTAGGCGGTTTCTCGGCTGGCAGGGCTTCCTTCCTCTGAGTGCAGGTCTGTACCGGAGCCTATCCCTGCCCACTTCCTCTCCCTGGGCATCCCCCACTGAAGTTTGTTGGGAGCTGGGCTGTTGGTTGGGCTGGGCTGAAGGGACTCTTCTCTTAGTTCCAGGGTAGCGATTTTTCTTTCTGCCATCTCTGCTCTGATGTATTCACTAGTAATAAAATATTCTAAGGATTATGCTTTTAAGAGCCAACTGTCTCTCTGCCCAGCTTCAGGCAGTTCCTCTGAGAATAAAGATCGATTCTTTTGCCTTCTCAGGCCCACACACCCCAGCTTGCAGACCCACAGTGCATTCATCCAGGTCTCTGGACAAATGGTTTCTGTCCTGGGGTTTCTTCAAAGCGTCATCAGGGACGTCATCTCTCGTCTTCTTCCCACAGAGTAGGTGGCCTGGGAGCTCCTTCTCCCGTTGGTGTCTGGTGAAGGTGTTACATAAAAGAACCCACCCTCTGCAGCCTCAGCTCACTCATCCCTCTTTCTTTCTTTTTCACCCACCTGCATCCTCCCTGCTGTCCGTTTCTGCTCCTCTTGCCAGGTCCCTCACTTCAAAGTGGCCCCAGAGGAGTTTGTCAAGTTCCAGTTCCAGAGATTCACAACCCTGAACCTCCACCCCAGCAACACCGACATCAGCGTGGCTGTAGCTGGGATCCTGAACTTCTTCAACTGCACCACAGCCTGCCTCATCTGTGCCAAGGCAGAATGTAAGTTTCCCCCGGCTGGCTAAGTTTCCCCCGGCTGGCTCCCCCACAGTCTGGTCTTGTTGATTTCGCCCTGATTCCCTGTGCTCTCCAGACAGGGGAGACTTCCTTCAGATAACCAGTGGGTTTGAGCATTCCCATGCCCATGTATCCGTGTGTGTGTGTGTGTAAGAGACAGAAAGAGAAAAATAGTGAGAGAGAGGAGGAGAGAGAGAGAGATGAGGAGGGAGTCCATCCAGGAGTACTCTTTGCCAGGACTCCCTGGGCATGAGTGGAACAGAGGGGAACTAGGTTACAAGGAGACTGGCCAACCGCCAAGCCTTTTTGCATCTGTAAACTCAATTCCCACATTCTCAGCTTCATTGTTAAGGAGATACAAAAAGAGAGAGAGGGAATGTATAAAATTGGATGCATTTTTACTTGATGGGTTGAAGAGCTTCTTCCCCTGGAGAGCAGGTTTTGCTGATGGAACAAGGTCCAAGGTCAATTCCTGATAAAGCAATTTTTTAGCAAATGCAGGTTTTGGAAATGCGCTTTCTATGACTCTGAGACAATTTGTAACATAAATTTAGTGTTTATGAGATTTAGCTAATTTAAGCCAGCACCTTCCAGCAAATCTGTGCATCTGTGTGCTCCCAGCAGCAGCTGTGCACCCACATGTGGTCAGACAGGTGCTGGCCACTGGCTACTGCTGGAGCCCAGTGCCTGAGCCCCAGGCACCTGTGTCCTGTGCAGCTCGCCTGTCCAGGGCTTACCCTGCAGGTCTCCGTGGGTTGCACTGCAAAGCAATTCCATCTTTATTAGGGTTTCTTTCTGTGGCTTCTCTGAACTGCTGTGCCTTCTCAAGTCCTTCCTGCATCCTGGAATCCCTGCAGTCTCCAGGTACAGAAGCCACCTCTCTGTTCAGAGTCAGAACTACCTACCTTCCCAGACCTTTGTGCCTGGCATGTAGATGAATTCATTTATCCAGTACTGATTTATTGAATATGTACTCTGTGCTACTGAAGAAATCAAGGAACTGAGTTCCAACTCTGCTGTGACCACCCATTGGGTTTGGAGATGTTGGATTTCCCCATTTCAAAGTTGATAAAGTTGAGACTCTGGGAGATAAAATGACTTGCCCAAGGCCACACAACTTAAGCATTAGGGCCCAGACTCAAATACAGGCCTTCTCACTTCAAGCGGAAAGCTCTTTCCAGAGCCCTGCAGTGGACGCAGAGAAAATAGAGCCCCGGCCACTGATCTGAGAAGGCCCAGAGTGGCTTATGCTAAGTGTCAAATGTGCAATGTGGCCAGTCATGAAGGAGAGGGTCCCTGAGTATAGGGTGCTAGAAATGCTTTGGGATGTGGATAGGGCTTCAACTGGCTCTCAAAGGATAAAAGAGATTTAGAAAAGGAGGGAAAAGAGATAGGGTATGCCAGATGAGGAGCAAGAGAGGAAAGCAGGGATCCTGATGCTGTGCCTAGAGGGAGTTGGTTGGAGCCTACAGTCCACGCTGGATAAAGATGGAAAGAATGGCTGGGGAAGGGAGCAGAGATCCTTATAACAGGTAAAGAACACGGACTGGGTCCTGCGTCATCTGAGAGCCCTCGAAGGTCTCTCTTTGAGAAGTGTCTTCTGAGGAGAGGCATTTCTCATCATGGGTGTGCCCTTGTGGAACGACTGGTTTTAGATCCATGAAAAAGGCAAAGGAGTTGGGAACTGGAATTAGACTCAAGGAGCTGGGGACCCTCAGATGTGGAGATAGAAAGTTGAACCCAAGCCTTGTTCAACAGGCAAACCCTGAGTGGCACCAGTAAGTTGGGTGTGTTCTAGAGCAATCTAGTCCATCACTCAGGCAGTCAACAGGCGTCTTTGAGCATCTCCTGGCTGCTGCGTACCCTCCCACTCTATGTAAGACATAAAAAAGCAACATCTTTGAATCTCTGTTCTCAAAGATGAAGCAGAATTGATGGAAAACTAAGCAGGGTCTATGGTCGTAAAACAATTCAGACAGTAAAATGGGTGTAGTGGCTCACGCCTGTAATCCCAACACTTTGGGAGGCCAAGGTGGGTAGATCACTTGACATCAGGAGTTTGAGACCAGTCTGGCCAACATAGTGAAACCCCATCTCTACTAAAAATACAAAAATTAGCCGGGCGTGGTGGTGCACACCTGTAATCCCAGCTACTTGGGAGACTGAGACACGAGAATAACTGAACCCTGGAGGCTGAGGTTCAGTGAGTTGAGATCATGCCACTGCACTCCAGCCTGGGCAGCAGAAGTGAAACTCTGTTTCAAAAAAAAAAAAAAAAAAAGACGGCAAAATAATGAATCTGGACTCCTAGAGAATTGAGGTACACTGGAGTTCTCCAGCGGGCTTCCATGAAGGGGGCTTGGCAAGAGACCAGTGAACATAGATTCTAACCCTCTCAGCTCTCGAAGAGGAAAGGGAGGCCCAGAAGGTAGCTTGGTTGCCTCCAATCTCATAATTAGTAGGTGGTAGAGCTTGGATTTGAATCCAGATTCTCTGGATCACAGTCCAGTGCACCATTGCCATTACACCTGTATTTATCAAATGAGTTTCCTCTGGATCTACGTTGACCCATGCAGTAGCCGCAAGCCGCGTATGGTTATTTAAGTGTACCTATGAATTCATTAAAATTAAATAAAATTAGAAATCCGTTCCTCAGTCTCTCTCATTACATTTTAAGTGGTCAGTAGCCACGTGGCTGGTGACTGCTGTGTTGGACAGCGCAAGTGTAGAACATCCCCATCATTGCAGAAAGTTCTACATGACAGCTCTGCTTTGATGATAAGTGTTTTGTGGGCCAAGAGCTTTTATGGCAAAATAATAATAATAATAACAATATTTGGATAGCTCTTCATTCTATTTCCTCCTAGTGGAGGAAATTGACGATACACATTAGCAGGGACATGCTCAGATGTCCTGTGGCCAAAACAGGTATTTGCTTCATTTTCTTTCAAATACATTTGACCATGAGCTGAAAAGGGGTGCCGATCTTACAGCCTGAAGGATGTTCCCACTTCAAGCACAGTGGGAAGCGCTGCATTCCAGCAGGTGGCCTTCCTCCTGTGATGCCCTTGGACCACTGAATGGTGTAACAGGCTCAGTGATTCTCTCCTAGAACTGACGGCCACAAGCCCCTTTTGGCAGGACTGAATTGGTGTACCCTGTGTACACTGCTGTTAAGAGACAGCGGGGCTGTTAAGAGACAGCGGGGCTGTTAAGAGACAGAGGGCACCCACAAATATCTCTAGGCAAAGATTGTCCGGCTGTCTTCCTCAGTGCTGGCTACAATGTCTCAGCAACCTGATACGAAGCTACTTTTGTGTCTAGTCGCAACTTCGCTTGCTTTTTTTTTTAGTAAAAAATGTCACATTTATTGCTGTATTTTCATAGAGAACTTTTTACAATTTTTAAATTGATAAATAACATTGTATATATTTATGGGGTGCATGTACTATTTCATTACATGCATAAAATGTGTAATGATCAAGTCAGGATATTTTTGGTATCCATTACCTTGAGTTTTTATAATTTCTATAAATTTCTTTAGGCTGATACTTGTTTCCTCTGCTTCAGCTCTTTCCGGGCTCTGGGAAACAGGTTGCTCAGATGTTTGCTAAGCATCTACTACACACTAAGCACTATGCTAATACTGTTGCCTCTCAGCCCAGGGCTCTTCCCATTATAATTATGACATTCTTTGACATTCAGACGGTTCCGTGCAGATGGCAAAGCACTTTCACTTAACGTTTCTCTGTTTTACCTCCCTCCTCCCCAGTCATTCCAGAGCTGAGAAAACAGTCTCGGAGGTATTAAGGGATACCAGATCGCACAGCTGGTACATGGAGAAGCTAAGGCTTTATCTTAGTCCTCTGATCCTCAAGCTGGCGCTTTCCTTTCCATGGCCCGCCTCCACCCTCGTGGTCTGCACAAACAGCCCCAGAGCCGTGGTTCGAGGGTGGGCTCTGCCTGGCAGGTGCGGTGTCCAGTGAAGGGCAGAGATCTGTCTCAACAACATGGGCCCTTGTTCCCTCGAGCATGGGTGCGGGACAGCTAAGCTCAGACGAGGTCTGGAGCAGATGTACCTCTCCAGGTGCAGCAGGGGCCGGCCCACAGCCCAGGGGACTTGGCAGGTACACAACTCAAATCTGCTGGAACTTACCCACTGAGGCTGCCGAGGGACTCCAGTCCTCACCCTCTGGGGCCAGAGGAGGGAAGGTGGAGCAGAGCAGAAGTTCAAGGGCAAAGAGGATTAAAAATCTAATCAAGGGATGAGAAAATGAGGGACTGACGGGAAATGCAACTCAGAGCTCTGAAGGAAACACTCTTCCATCTTCCTTATTAATGCAGGGCCGAGAGACACTGTGAGTAGAATTAGGAGCAGAATCTAATTCTATTTTCCAGCCATCAAAATTAAGCATAGCGGAGATAATTCCATGGAGGATCATGCCACTTACTCTCCTGGTTCCCAAAAGTAGATTTTTAATAAGCAAGTTTTGGACCAAGTAGAGAGATATTGTACATTATATTATTTTTCTGTAATGGGAAAAAAAGTCAGAACATTTGCAAGTGCCTACTTCTGATGAGGCTGGGGGAGGAAAGGGTGAGCAGCCCAGGTGTGGCCCTCCTGGTCATAGCCCACAGAGCCTGAGGAGTTGGCTACTGGGGGGCTTCCAAAGAGAGTCAGGGCTCCCCACTGTGGGTGCCCAGGGCCTGTTGGTCAGATCACCCAGCTCTGCTGCAGAGCTACCTGTTGACCTCAGGCTGGACCCAGAGCCACAGGTATAATACACTGTGTATTTCCCTGCTATCTTCTGATGTGGCTCAAATCATTTCTCCTCCTCCTCCTCCTCCTCCTCCTCCTCTTTCTCTTCTTCTTTTCTTCTTCTTCTTCTTTCTTCTTCTTCTTCTTTCTTCTTCTTCCTCTTCTTCCTCTTCTTCCTTCCTCCTCCTCCTCCTCCTCTTCCTCCTCCTCTTCTTCTTCTTCTTCT